CGAACCTGGGTGTGGGATCACATGCCTGTAATCCCAGCACTTTGGAGGCTAAGGTAGGAAGATTGCTGCAAGCTCCCGCCCGGCTTGGGCTATGTTGTGAGTTCAAGGCCAGCCTGAACAACATAGAGAGCAAGGCTTTGTCTCAAAAAAAAAAAAAGAAAGAAAGAAAGAGGAAGAAAGTAAAAGAAAGAAAAAAGGAAAGAAAGGAAGGAAGGAAAAGAAAAGAGAAAAAGTAAAAGGAAGGAAGGAAGGAAGGAAGGAGGAGGGAGGGGAAAGAGGCTGAGCATTAGCCCAACAGGCCATTAGGAGTGGAGCCTCAGCGCATGGAGCTGGTCCTTGGTACTGTGCCTTGGAAGTCTGAACCTCTCTTCAGCTGTTTCCGCCTCTCCACTTCCAGGCTGCCATGAGGCGAGCAGCCTTCCCCCTCCCTCACTCTTCCACCATCTTCCTGCCCCTCCACAGGTGGGGCAGCAAGGCCCTCCAGGGTGCTGAGACCTGAGCCCAGATGACGCTTTCCTCCTTCAGGCTGTTCTCCTCGGGTACTTAAGCACAGAGCCAAAAAACTGACTGACAGGCTGCTAATATCCTCACCCATTCTGTGTCTTGTGTTTCAGTCTTCGTTTTGTTTCAAAGTACTGAGCATTGAGTATTTTCAGTCTTTTCAGAGTGTCTATTGACACTTGTAACACATTCCTAGCCTGAACGGCCAGTGGTAGGTACAGGTGTGACTGTCCCACCAGGCGGCTTCTACCCTGATGGTGGCAGTGGGACAGTCACACAAGTACTACCCATGGTTCCAGCCACTCGTCAGTGAGACACACAAATTGTGGCCCCCTCATGAATATTTTAATGTAGTTAATTTTTTCCTTAATGTTTAGTGCTTTTGTCTTATTTAATAAATCGTTTCCTATGCTTAAGGTATTTTCCCATATTAGCTCTGAAAAGCTTTATAGTTTTGACTTTTGCATTTAAGTCATTAACCCAATCTGGAATTAGTTTTTGTCTATGGCACAAAGTTGAATTCAATTCCATTTTTTTCCAGATAGATACTCAATTGTTCCACCATCATTTTTTTTTAAAGAAGAGATTCTTTAGAGTGTTTTTTTCTTAAACACAGATGTAGGAAACCTCTGGACTTGATTCAATTACTTATGGCCTTTACAGAAGGTAATGAGAAGGGATTCTATTTATTCCAATAGTTGCTAAAACTCCAACAGGTTTTTAAAAAAATTGTTAGTTGTAATAATGTAAAAAGAAGCTAACTGTAGGGCTGGGGATTTAGCTCAGTGGTGCTGCCACCTACCTCGAAAGCACAAGGTCCTGAGTTTGATCCCTGGTGCCAAAAAAAAAAAAAAAAATTTAAAAAAAAAAAAAAAAGAAGCTAACTGTGGAAATAGATTTTTCTATCTAAAACGGAGATCCAACATGACTTATAGTATAGAAAATTAGCCAGGGGCCGGGATTTAGCTCAGTGGCACTGCTGCCTGCCTTGCAAGTACAAGGTCCTGAGTTTGATCCCCAGTGCCACAAAAAAAAAGAAAAAGAAAAATGGATACAAATATTTCTAGGCTTATTACTTTAAATCTAATCAAAGCCTATAAATACATAAGAACATTTTATAACACTTGTTTTATGCCTAAAATTTGTGTTTACTTTCACAGTCTTTACAAATAAATGAAGCTCTGAGGTTTTTATTCTGCCGGTTTGGGCAGATTAAAGCTGCTTCCCCATCTCACAGATTTCACCTTATCATCACGGCATCTTCACGCACAGGAAGAGCTTGATATTTATCCAAAATCTGCGGAGTTCTTTGCTTTGGTTTGATTTTTGTTTTTTCAGTACTGGAAATTGAACCCAGATTCTCTCCCACTGAGCTATGTGACACTCCACTCTTCACCTTTTTTTTTGTTTTTGAGACAGGGCCCTTGCTAAATTGCCCAGGCTGGCCTTGAACTTGTGATCCTCCTGCCTCAGCCTCCTGAGTAGCTGGGATTACAAGCGTGCACCACCACTCCTTGCTACGTGAACTCTGCTTCTTCCATCCCCTCAATAGTTTCTTCCTGGAGGGCAGCCTGATCATTCTTCTTTTTTGGGATTTCTCTGGCTTTCCCTTCTTCAGACTCAACAGCCCTAAGACCCTTTCACTCTTCCTTGATGTCCTAATTTCATATCCCCGCATCATCTTTCTTCTTCTTGGTACCGGGGATCAAACTCGGGTCCTTGCACTTGTGCAGCAGGCAGCGAAACCACTGAGCTAAATCCCCTATCTTTCTTCTTCTTGAAGGAACTGATTAATATTGTGAGTTATAAAACTAACCAACACAAACTGTGACCTTCCTTCCTTCATGTCCCTTAATGGGTCCGCTCGTTGGAAGCTATTTTCCATCGCTGTTTCTGTAGGGCATTTGCAACGTTCCATAACAGTGATACAAGATAAAATGTTTAACACTGTCACATTGAATTTTTCTCCCATTTTAAAAGTGGCTTAATGTTCCTGTATTTCTCTCTCTTTTTTTTTGTACTGGGGATCGAACTCAGGACCTTGCGCCATTGAGCTAAATCCCCGGCCCATTTCTCTCACTGTTAACAACAGCAAAACCTCAACTATGTTGCTTGTTACTTACGAATGGTCCCAAATGTATTTAAACACACACACACACACACACACACACACACACACACACACAGGAACTAGAGGGCCGGGGATTTAGCTCAGTGGTTTCACTGCCTACTGCGCAAGCGCAAGGTCCTGAGTTCAATCCCTGGTACCAAAAAAATAAAAAAAATTTTTAAAAAAGAGGAACTAGAACTACTTCTAATAAATTACATAGCAAAAACAGTTTATATTTTAGTCTTTAACGCAAAGGTAGAGATCTTCTTTTGGTCACTCTGCTTTTTCTTCATATTAGGTTTTATAAAGTTAGAGAGGAAAATTGTTTACTTGCTCCTTCACAGTTTGAGAGGGCGCCTTCCCCCTTTGCTTGTTTATAATATAATCAGTCACAAATCTGAAGTCATTTGTATTCAAGTCATGAGGCTTTTTCTTTTGAAAGAATGATGATGATCCATCAAGGCAGCGAGTGATGCCCAGCAGAGTCCCGTTATTTCTTTCCCGAGAGGGACTTTTGGCCCCTGTCTGCCGCAGCCAGGGATGAGGACCCTGAGTCAGGGCTCCACATGAACGCCCGCCTCCCTTGCTGGAAATCACCTCTGAAAACCACAACGCCATGCGTGCTGAATGTGCAGTTTTCACTAAAATGCAACCGGTTTCCAGGCCGCCATGGGTGCTCTACATCCAACCAAGCCTCTGGCCAAATCCACGCCACGTGCTTTGGACATTCTTCTGGCTGAAACTGAGCCGCAAGGATTAACGCAGGGGTTGGGGGGGCGGGGGCCCATCCCCGTGTGGTCCCCAAAACCCATGCGACCACTAGGCCAAAGGGGAGCACACGGCCTCACTTGAAATATGAAACTTTTAATTCACAGATAGGAAGCCAGAGGAGAAAAATCTTGAAAATCAAAATACCAAAAATCTGGTTTAGTTCTTTATCATTCAACACCTCTTAGGGCTCCCAATATTAGACTCTAAGCAATGTTTGGTGTTGTGTTTTTATATTTTTCTACCATGAGTGGAAAATACAACTTTAAACTGGGCATGGTGGTGCATGCCTATAATCCCAGCTCTCAGGAGGCTGAGGCAGGAGGATCTCGGGGAGTTCGAGGCCACCTTGGGCTACACAGTGGGTTCAAGGCCAGCCTGAACTGTACGGTGGGACCTTGTCTTAAAAAAATTAAAATAAAACTAAGGAAGTGTAATTTTAAGCCACAGACCTGAGGGGTGAGAGGGCGGGCTTCTGTACATTTTCCTTTACCCAGAAATCTTTTTTCTCCTTTCCCAGCAGCACCTCTACAAAAAAAAAATTTTTAATAAAATAAATAAAAGGTGGTGAGGGTATAGCTCAGTAGTATTCATGCTTAACATGTATGAGGGCCTGCCTGGACTCAATCCCCAGCATCCAAAAATAAATAACTAGCCTGCCCTGGTGGCAGACACCTGCAATCCCCTCTCTCAAGAGGCTGAGGCAGGAGGATGATCACAGTGAGTTTGAGGTCAGGCTGGGCTACACAGTGGGACCCTGTCTCAAAAACTAAAACAAATAGTAAGATAGATGGATAGAGATAGATAGATAGATAGATAGATAGATAGATAGATAGATAGATAGATAAAAAAAAATTTAAGGAAAATATGGGGGTTTTGTCTGAGGGTTGGGAGTTAAACCCAGGCAGTAAAATGTATTTTTAAAATATTAGTTGGTATGAATCTTCCTTTTTAAAAAAACTAATAGCAAAAAAAAAATTTATTTCCTGGAAATCTATTTGCATCTGTTTTATGGATTCCATTTGTTTCCTATGTTGGGATTCCATCATGTTCCTGAGCTCCTCTCTAGATTTATTAATCATGTCTTGCACTAGGAGCACAATCTCTCCTGTTATCTGAGAAATTATTTCTGCTTTCATCTTTTCCAGATCCCCTTTTGTTGCCAGTTCAGTGGGTCCAGGTGGTTGAGTATCAGAGTGTTCCATCTCATTTCCCTTTGGGGTTGCTGTAGGTGATCTGGAAGTCTGGTTTTGAGACTTATTTACGTGTTTTCTCATTTCGACTGGGGGGGGGGGTGCTGTTGGCGCCCGCATGGATTACCTCCTCTGAGCTGGGAGAGGTGGGACAGGGGCCGGGAGCAGCGGTAGGGATGGTGGCCCAAAAGCCCTTTCCTCTGGGCTGGGAGCAGCAGGAGGGATGGTGGCCGGGAAGCCCCTTGCTCTGGACCAGGAGCAGTGGGACGGCAGCTCAGAAGCCCCTTCCTCTGGGCCGGGAGCGGCGGGACCCAGTACCATGGTCTGGTGGTCTGGTGTCCTCTGCGTCTTTGTAGTGTGGAATCAGGTGGCTGTACAGAGGAACGGGGGGGGGGGGGGGCCGCGGTAGGGTGTCCACAGACCTGCCTGTCTGCAGCGGGCTGATTCGGCGTGTTCCACACGACTGAAAAAAAAAATTTTAAAGTTAAAAAAAATGAATAGCATGCACAAAGAGGCTACTGAAGACTAATGACTACATAATATTCTGTAATCAACTCTCCCAAGTTAAATGACAAAACTCCTTGGCAAAATTTCCGCTAGTGTACAAGGAGTTAAGTGGTCATTACAGTACTGAAGACACCTCCTCAACTCTGCTGAGAGATGGCTCGGCGACCAAAGGTACAAAATCCCTCCTGTCCCTCCACTGCATGTCAGCCCCAGCGTCTTCATACCTCTTGCAGCAGAGCCCGTGGACATCTCCCAGCATGGGGCAGATCCAGGCCAGCCGGGGTCTCTCCACAGCTCCTATGGCCACCTCCTGCAGAGGACTATAACAATGATCATGCCCAAGGCAGGCTGCGAAGAGTTAACCCCACAATTGGCTTGTTTATAGAAGTGAGTGAGTCTGGTCGAAGCCTACATGGCAAGGTTAGAGTAACTTGCACCCAAATTCCATTCCCACAACTAAAACCTTCTTACTAGGAGGACAATGTTGTAATTACAACCATATACTGTCTATTCTCTTCCTAACTTGAGAATGCTTTGTCTGGTCCTTTATGAGCCTTGTTTACATCAATTTCCATAGAAACTGCATGTAGCCCTGCCCTTGCATGTAACTTGCCTTTACCCCAAGTGATTACCAGTAAAAGTCAGTACCTGGGACTGGCCAGAGCCTTTGTCATTGAACCAGCATTGGTCATTCTGGCATCCCACTTTCTCTCCTAGTTCTGTCTTTTAGTTTTATTTCTCAGGCCTGCTTCCTATACTGGAACCTAACTGCAGGGGTCTGCAGTGCTTCCCATTCTCCCTTCCCACCCACAAAACAGAACAGAGTTGCCCCCACCTCCTCACCCCCACACCTGGAGAGGCAAGAATAAAACCTAAGAATTCATCAATAAATGTGGCAGTCAGGACCGTGAAATTGTCCCCCCCAAATAATGACAGAAATACTGAGAGAACTGTGTAAGAAAGCAATCAGAGCTATCACGCATTCCCACCGTGCTGGCCAAAAGACACAGCAGAAATAATGCTACGAAAAAGAACGAAAGGAAAAGACTCAATGTTAATCCCCAAAATATGGCTTTCTATCCCTTACCCAGCAAAATTCTGCCACAGCTTCAGTTCACTGTGACTCTGATCCCTAAGAAAAGGAAACACTCGCTCACACAAAATGTTTTCCAGCATTTGTCTTTTAGTTTGCAGGGAGTAGCAGAAACTAGTTATGTGCAGTGTATACAGTCGTCACTGATTCTCCTTGCGTTGTTAATATAAATTAATACCTTTCAAGGATTAGTGAATATGAATGGAAGGCAGAATTAACAAATCTAAACGCTTGCTTCTTTCAGTCACAGCCGCTATGCTGAAAACTATTATCCCACAGCGCCCCCTTATGGCAAAGGGGGATTGATTCCATGGAAAAAACCCTAAATAGTTTTTCCACTTTTCTTGTTTGTTTGTTTTTGAGACAGGATCTCACTATGTAGGCCAAGCTGGCCTCGAACTAGTAGCAATTTTCCTGCCTCCGCCTCCTGAGTACTGGAATTACAGGCATGCTCCACCACACCTAGCTTATTTTTCTACTCTAATTTTTTATTTCTTTTTGTGTGATTGAATCCAAGGAGCTGTATTCCCAGCTCCTTTTTATTATTTTTGAGACAGGGTCTCCCAAGTCAAACTCATGATGCTTCTTCCTCAGCCTCCCAGCATGCTGTGATTACAGGGCATGTGCCACCATGCCCAGCTTGTTTCTGCCTTTCTTATGAAAAATTAAAAACCACCTTGGCAGTCAAAACGATAGTTTCTGTTCACCTTATAGGCATATTAATTTAGTCCTTCAACAAATAACTTCTGTCATAGCAGAAGAACATGTATTCTTCCTGCCTCAGCCTCCAGAATAGCTGGGATTACAGCTGTGCACCACCACACCTATCTCCTGTTGCCTTTTTTATTTGTTTTTGGACTAGGGGGTTGGTGTTTTTGAGACAAGGTCTCACTGTAGTTCAGGCTGGCCTGGAACTCACTATATAGCCCAGGCTGGCCTCCAACTCACAGCAATTGTCCTGCCTCAGCCTCTTGAGTGCCAGGATTACAGGGGTGCACTACCACCCCCAGCCTTCCTGTTATCTTTTAACCCATTATTTAGACTTTTTAAGTGTTCCATATGTCTTGCACATAAATCTGTTTTCTTGCATTAAACATTAGAAAAAGACACTGAATTAAAAGAAGTCTGAGGAGATGAAAACTAGTTAAGATATGCTATGTCCATGTACCAACTTCCCACAAAGAATGTAAGCATTATGCACTGCAAACATGTACCAATAAAAATTAAAATTTTAAAGCCAAAAAATGAAATTATCCAAAATAATAAAATTACAGGAAGAAACAGCTCAACAAAATAAAGATTTAGAAAAATCTCAGTTATCCTATATGTTTTAGTTAAGTCCATAATTTAAGGGAAAAAAAGGGTTTGTGCAAAGTTTAAAAATGTCTGGATAGAAACTAATACGAAGTTTGGCTTAATAGCATCTTTAAGTGCTAATCAAGAAAATAGTATTAGATATTGAGTTCCTCTATTTCCTGGAGGAAAACATTCTCATCATTAATCCACAGTGACATTCTACTATAGGCATATTACAAGTCCCAGCATAGCAGGCTCTTAAAAGGTCAGGTCCAACTAAGGCAGCCTGGCCCGACAGAGTTGGACAAGATCTGGGTCCGCATATAACAGGACCAAGCCAGCGGTACTAAGGTGTGAGAGGGACTATGTGCCAGGATACAGAAGCAGGGCCCATTATTACAGAAAAGGCCCAAACTAAATATCCGACCAGGTGCTCACACCCAGAGCAGGTTCCAGGAGCCAGCTCTTACGGCCCCATGAACAGAGCGGGGTAGGCGATCCTTCCTCCTTCCTAAAGCACCCAGGGCTAAGAACATTCTCAGTGTTAGATCCAAGTCCAAATTGTTTAAAAGTCCTGGGTTGAGCCGGGATGATCAAGCGCAGTGCACATTCAAAGGACAGAAAACACAATCTAGAATCAGAAAAAGAAGCAAGGTAGGTTCTGCTCATTCTTGCCCCTTTTTTGTTGGGGGGACTAGAGGTACCGGATAAGAATGAAAGAAACAAAGAATCAGAGAATGAGAGATTTTATTTCTTCAATCTCCTTTCCCCACCAACACACACAAAGACCTACAACTAAGCACAGAACCTTCCATATAGAAGTTGCTAAATGAGTTGACATTTTTAAAACACCATTGTCAGTGTCCCCTAGAGTTCCACCTTTGCCTTTCTTCTCTTGTCATTCTACACACCCATGCTGGGTGACCTCTCTTTCCCCGATTCCCAAGTCTCTGTGCGCAGCCCTAATCTCTTGCTTACTGGACAGCTTCGCGGGATAACCCGGAAGTACACAGATTCACTGTGATCCTAACAATTTTCATTAATTTGACCTTCGCCCAGACCTTCTCCTTAGGAAGTCATGAATCACTCACTCATCCAGTTGCCCCATGGGAATCTGGGTCACCCTGAACTTCTCTTTCCTCCTCCACCTCCTCGATACTGTACCTTCTGACTCCATCTAGGAACCAACCGCTCATCTTATTTATTTCTCTCACCGCTCTCTTAATTCTGGTTCTGGTTTCTCCCCCAGATTACTCTGATGACATTACTGTGTCCTTCCTCTAACATCCCTCACTCTCTTCCCTCTTCATTTGTTATGTATAGCTCATGAGGATTTTTCCCAAAGGCAAATTTTATGTTGCTTTTCTAATTAAAATCTTTCACTGTCCCACATCAATCAGAAAAATAGACATGGCCATTATAAAACACCAGCCTGGCTTTTATCTTTCCATCCATCCATCTACCCAGCAAACTTTACAGGACAGCAGGTTTAGTGCTCCTGATACCAGGTAACCGCTGGGAACGCAACACTGGACCAAGTCGAGCGAGGGTGCGCCCTCCCAGTGTCAGAGTCTCCTGGGAGCAGACCAGAACATTGCACTCCATTGCTAAGTGCTGTGGGGGGAAACGACCTTCAACTGGGAAGTACAGGAAGTGGTCTCAGACAGCTTTTACCTCCATTCAGATCTGAAGGGTGCGTAAAAGTTAATCAAGGAGAGGAGCAGTAAGGCAGGAGGCTGGGCGCGACAAACCAGCTGGGCAAGTGGGCATGACCTGCCAATCCACGGAGATCCGGCACGCAAGCGCCGGAAAACGGTTCCAAAGTTCTGCACCCAGGACCAGTCTGAAAGTGCTATCTTCAGTTCTGGCATGAAGTTAAGCACACTTCTGATTGGACAGTTTAGATCTGACCTCGGAATGGAGGATATAACATGCAACCACCGTTAACCTCATGGCATCGTGCTCTCTCCTCAGGCGCCTGCTTTCACTCTGCAGAGTGTATTTCTTTTCCTGTCTTTAATTGGCCCACACTTGCTGTGCACAACATACTGCTTCTCCTACCTTTAGTAAATCTAAAACCTACCTTTTCCACGTGTCTTGTTTAATTCTTCATTCAACACATCAAGAACCTGGAACGAATCTCTAGATGACGCCTACAGCGCCCCAGAACCCCGTTAACAATAGGAGATTCCGGGCAGACGGAATAGCAGATACAAAGGCTCAAGGAAGAGATCTCAGCGCACGGGAAAGAAAACTAGAGACAGAGACAAGGATGAGATCCTGCAGGTCTGGAACTCACCTAATGGCATCTGGACTTGATCCTAAGGCCACTGAACAGATTTAAGGGAGGGAATTATTAAACATGTGTATCCGACTCTCTCTGTCGCATGGAGAATGGCTTGGAAGTTGAGACTGAAGGCATCCAGAAGAGACATTTTAATACCAGAACCAATAAGACTTGGGGACTGGACAGGAGTAAGAAGGAGCGAGGAAGGGAGAGAGGCATCTTGTCTGGGCTCCAGGATTCTAGCTCCACAGCTCAGGAAGTGGCAGCAACATTCACTAAGATGGGAACCGTGAAGGAGAAAGTTGTTGGGGGTGGGGCAGTGGAAAGAAGGTGAATTCAGTTTTGAGGTTTGATTTTGACTGCCTATGAAGCTGCCCAAATGAAGATATCAAGAATTCATTCTAGGGCCAGGGATTTAGCTCAGTGGTTCAGCCACCTGCCTCGCAAGCACAAGGTCCTGACTTCGATCCCGGGTACTGGAAAAAAAAAAAAAGAATTCTACACAGAGACCAAAGCTTAGAAAAGCAATCTAGACTAGAAGTAGTATACTTGGGTCGGCTGTGGATTTGAATGAGAATGCCAAAAAGAGTATGAAGAATGAGAAAAAGACAAAGATCAACATGAGGTTGGAGTTGGACAAGGAAAAGAGGAATAAAGAGAAAAAATAATTTAAGCTGAAGATATGGATTTAGAAATCAGCATAGGGATGGTAATGGAAGTAGGCAAGTAAGTGGATGAGCTCTCTCAGGAAGACTGTATAAAAAGCAAAGAGAGGCTGAGGATTTAGCTCAGTGGTTCCACCACCTGCCTCGCAAGTGCAAGGACCCGAGTTTGATCCCCGGTACCAAGAAAAAAAGAAAAGAAAAGAGAAAAGAACTAGGCCAGAATCCGGAGATATAGGAAGACTTCAGGAATAGGCAGAAAAAGAAGAGCTTTCACAAGAGACTAAGTAGAAGAAACTAGGAGAATGTCCTTCCCCATCATTCTTCTTCCAATTCTTCACTCTAGCTGCACAGAACAGCTGTGGTTCTTAGGCTGGCCCATTCCGCCTGTGCATCTCACTATGTCTTCTCTCCATCTCATGAACAGACTTCTACTCTTCCTCCTCCGGCAACTTTCAAATGAAATTTCTGCTACATCCAATACTTTGCAGCCCACAAAGATAGCCACCAGCTGCAGGTGGCCATGGAACACTTCACATATGGCAACTGAGGAAATAAATTTTTAGATTTATTTTCATTAATTTAGATAGTCACATACGGCTAGTGGTAACCATGCCAGACAGCACAGTGGACTACCCAAACGTTGATTCCCTTATGATGCTGCTGCTTCTGTTTCTCTATTGCCCATCAGCAAGGCCATCCTTGGTCCCTGCAGCATGTTACTGAAGAGCCCGCCAGACTTCAACTTAGATGGTAATGATTTCTTTGCTGGAGATAATATTCAAAATAAAACTACTTCTCTGACTTTGTGTGAAGATTAAAAGAAATGAAGCCAGGCATGGAGGCACATCCCTATAATCCTAGCACTTGGTAGGCTGAGGCAGGAGGATGATGAGTTCACGGCCAGCATGGGGTGGGCTACCTAGCTAGTTCAAGGCCAGCCTGAACTACATAACAAGACCTTGTCTCAAAACAAAACAAAACAAGTTGATGCAGTGGCTCAACCCGTAATACCAGTTATTCAGGAGGCTGTGGCAAGAGAATTGGAAGTTCAAGACCATCATGAACAATTTTAAATAAAAATATAAAGGTTTAGAGATGTAACTCAGGGCAAAGCACTGGCCTGGGTTCAATCCCCATAAAGCAACAACAACAAAACATGCTGGTGGTGCGTACCTACAATCCCAGCTTGAGAGTCTGAGGCAGGAAGATCACAAATTGGAGCCCAGCCTGGGCAACTTAGTGACTTAGCAAGACCCTGTCTCAACATAAAAAGGGCTGGGGATATAGCTCAGTTGAAGGCCCTGGGTTCAATCTCTCACTTCATCTAAAAGGTCCATCATATCATAACTTCAAATCACCCTGTTTATTTTTCAAGAGATCGGTTTTGTTTTTTGTAATAAGCAACCCAGTGGGTTGGCCTATTCAAACTTGATCTTTGGTGTTTCTCTAAAGAAATGTTAGTTCCGGGGGACTAAAGGTCTTCGGGAGCCACTCCTAACAGTGGCACATCTTGTTTCATCCCAATGTGCCTGCCTCGCCTGCCCGAGCTGGGAAGGACCTAGAGGCTGGGCCTGAGGTGCCCGAGGGTACAGCCTGCCCACTCTGCACTAACTGTAGATGTCTCCCTTACTTTAAAACTTTGAGTCAGATCCCTGCTCCATTCTGCATGCAGGCATCTGAATAGCTCAAGGAGTGTCGGTATCACAAGGTTTTCTTAGCCCCAAGTTTACCCCTTCAAGATGAGGACACCGAGATAAGAGTAAGTAAAATAATTTGCAGAATTTTCAGGGACATCTGATTACCTACTTTTTTTTTTTTTTTTGGTATCAGGGATCGAACTCGGGTCTTTGCGCTTGTGTAGCAGGCGGCAAAACCACTAAGCTAAATCCTCGGCCCTACCTACCAGCTTTTACAACGCCCAGTTCAGTCTCCTGGGGCAATGCCTAGGATTGTCCAGCCATAGCCCTAAACCTCAGTCCCCTGGGATTTCAGGCAAAGCAAACCTTGCAGACCACCCCATGATGAGGCCACCCCCCAAGCAGAAGCAATTACCCCACGAAGGGAACGGAGTCTGCCCCCCAAAGGGGAGCCATCAACTCATCATGGGAACCAAATTGCCCCTTCAGGGAACAGTGGGTCTCCCTGGACCTCACAAAGTGGGTCCTGAGATTCCGATCCAGTGGAGCAGAGCCAGACCAGGATTACTGATGAAGCCCCCTGTGCAAACCCCCAGCTGTGTAAAGCCCAACCCTTGTTCCCCTTTCCTAGAAAACCCCAAAGTTCCTGTCAGTGCCTGGAAGAGACATTTTAAACCTCTCCCTCTGTCCTTCGAAGCAGGCCGACCTGATTCAAGCTCCTTTCCCACCGGAACCCTGGCTCATCCCCTGTCTGACTAGGGGACCTCGGGAGGCGTGGCCAGGCCGGGCTCCGTCACTGGCTTCCGTGAGAATTGAAATTGAAACTATAAACAAATCTGCCGGAAAAAGCTTTCATTCAAAGTAAGAGAAAAGGGAGCACAGCTCTGACAAAGATAAAGGTGGTCCTGAACAAGGAAATAGCAGATGGGGAAGGTTCTCTGGTTCGAATAGCTGGACCGGGGCTCACGCTAAGGCAGGGGCCCCGACTGGCCCAGCCACGAAAGCAGGAAGCCAGCTTTTCAGGACCAGCTGAGATGGTGGAGCCTGGTCATCGTTATCTCAGTCCTGCTTCCGAGCTCTAGAAGAACAGATCACAACGTATGCCTCGCGGCCAGGCGGCCCTGAGCCACCAGTGGTACGTGCATGAGTGTCCCCTCGGGTGGCATGGAACGGTCCCGACAGGTGGTACCAGCGGCCTGTGGGACAGTCATGCATTGCCACCAGTGGCCCAAGCCAGTGAGACTGTTGAGCGCAGCTGGATTCCCATGGAGACCGCCTGTGTGTGGTCCCGGTCACATGAAGCTTGCTCTTCCTGGGACCCGGATGACTATTGGATGAGGACAACCGCTGGAGATTCTTAGGTGTTGCTGCAAGGAGAGGAAGGGCGTGGAATCGGGACACTATAAAATCTGGTCGTCGGAATCCCCCTGAACACTGAACATTACTTTAGTTACCCCTCCCATGGTGTCCTCCAGTCTGAAGGGGGCTGAGACGGGGCAGGTAAATTCGGGGCTAATAAACTTGGCTCTGCCAACTTTTCCTAAATGAGGAACGTAAGCATAGCCAATGTTTTAAGGTAATAAAGGATACAAAAAGAAAGGCCAAGTTTGGTTCTACTCTTAGTTACCTGTTGGGTAGACTCAAGGGTTTTAGCAAAAACTGCTTTTAACTCCCTGGGCCTCAGAAGAAAGCATAAATTGCACTTTTAATGAGTGACCGGTTAGGGGCCCAGGAGTTTTTGTCCTTTCTCCCTGTAGTGGTCTCTGACTCTTGCCCTAAAACTTTGGTAACAAACCTTTACTACTGAAACCGATCTTCATGGTCCTGGTAACTGTGCTGTTCTGCTGATCTTCTACTGTCTTTTGCTTTGGGGTTTCGATTTTGGTTTCATTTTTTTGTGATGCTGGGGTGAACCCATACTCTCACATGCACCATTTCTTGATTTCCAGAGCTCCTTGTTCTTGGAAATCACCATTAATGTCCAGTAGAGGCCGCTTTACTGCCACGGACAGCGGAGGGAAACACCGGAGCTCTACCCCCTCCCAGTTACTAGTGTTTGTGTTAACTTTCTAAGAAAATAGCAAGTTAGAGAGTAATTTACCATGCCACAGCACACAGAATTTCAAACATACAAAGCTGAAAGTGTTTGTGGAAATTATAGAAAATTGAGAGAAAATTTGTTTATTGCTTCTCAAAAAGCCATCTTGTTCTGGATAGGATTCCAGGGCGGCACCGGCAGAGCTCTGATCCAAGGTCGGCACCTTCGTGGGCACCAGGTCTACGAGCCTCTAAAAGTATGTGCATTTTTGCTGAAAACAGAAATATCCATTAAAAGATTTTTTTAATTTTAAAAAAACATTAAAAGGTCAAAAAGCAGAGCCTGGTGACACAGGTCTGTAATCCCAGCAGTCTGGGAAGCTGAGGCAGAAGGACTGGCAAATTCAAGCCTGGACCTGCATTCAATTCCCAGTACTGGGGCGGGGGGGGGGCGGGGCGGTTAAGAGATAAGCGTATGAATCAGAAGCGCCAGGAGAAGCGCTTTGGCGGGGTGGGGGGTTGTCGGGGTTTTTCTCTCTTTCCTGCTTTCCTAACACCAAAGAAAATTCAAGAAGAAATTTGAACTCAGAATCCCGTACAACTCCAAGTCGATCTCGATCCTCCAGAGACAGATAAGAACTGGGCTTTAAGCCCTTTTTTTAGAAAAAAGAAAGGCTCGCAAAGCCTCCACATTCAGCACCCAGCCAAAGGGGCAGAATAAATGCTAATTGTCAGTAGTTAAGGTAGAATGCGGGCTGATCAATGAGAATGGCTCACCAGGGACTGAAACCCCAGGCCTGGGGACGAAAGGCCGCATTGACGGGGAGAAAGGGCTGGCGGCCCCCAGTGTGATGCAAATGCTGGAAGCTGGGGACCCCGTCCCTCCCCTCCCCCGCAGCTGCGCACAAAGCCTGGTTCTGAGGACCGCGGGGGCTGAGCGGGAATCGCAGGGAAAGCTTAGGGTGCGCAAAGCCTGCCCGCCGCGCAAGCCCCATTCCGAGATCTCAGAGCTGCTCAAGTGTGGGCTGGGGACCCGGCGAGGAGCTCATTTGAGGAGCTGTGATTCATCTCTGTTCCTTTAGAGATTGAAGGTTTGGGCTTTAACTGCCCTTAAGTGACTTTAGGGACCTGTGGAGAGTGTTTTGAAAAGCAAAGGCTTTTGGTTTTGACTAGTTATTCCTGACCAGTCCAAAGCCTATCGATTAAAACTGACTCACAATATCTAGCAAAACCCCTGTCCGTTCAAGGATGGTACTGGGCACCTTTGCCCTCACAGTTGGGGAAATGACTGTAACCTCTCAGCTCTGCCCTGGGTTCCACCAGAACTCACGAGGTTTCAGAAAGAACTGGGTTTTTCACTAAGCCTTAAGAGGAAATGAACTGAAAATCCTAGCGGGGAATAATTTTAAGGAAACTAGAGGCACTGTCCAGCCAGTCTGTTGGCTAATTTATCCAAAGCTTCCTCAGGTGTAAAGGCCCTGGGTTCAAAACCCAGTAATGGAGGGGGGGGATTGAAATAAATGAAAGTACTGTACATAAAGAACAGTGATGACTAAATCTCTAATGATAGAAAGCATATCAAGCCTCACTTTGGCTATCACACATGACAAAAACAGGCTGACTTTTCAGACCTATTGAAATTGCTCTTTTAATCGCTTTAGGACCAATAAGAAGCTACTGGAAGATGAATTTCCACTCAAGAAAAAGTTACCACCAGTTGCACTAAAACAGAGGGGCTCCTTCCAGAAACTGAGAGCTCGCTCCCTTTAAGGCCAGCAGAGGGGGGTAGGAAGGGCTCAGACTCCAGATCTGCCACCAGCCTGGGCTCTGTAAGGTCTCTTCCAAATAAAAACCTTTGCTACAGACCCGCAGAAGGAAATTCTACTTCCAAACACGCTTTAACCTAGCTATACTTTTTTTTTTTTTTGGTACCAGGGATCGAACTCGGGACCTTGTGCTTGCAAGGCTGGTGCCGGAACCACTGAGCTCCGGGCCTGACCTAGTTATACTTTTGCTTAATTTCCCAATAAATATCTTTCCATACTGGCTGCACTAACTGAAGAGGGAAGAGAGTCTGTATTTTTTGCTTGCTTCTTTACAACTATTCCTTTTTAAGCACTAAGGCACAGGGTCGAGAAAGCTAGCTCTGGGAGACAGTGGCATAAACAGCAAAAGCTGTATTAACAATGTAAAAAAAAAAAGAAAAGAATTTTGTACCATTTTTTAGATTGTCCAGTCAAAAACAAATTTTATGTATATATCTGAATATAATTCTCAGTTATCTTCATGTAATACTTCCTCCTTTTTCCATAAGAATTCTAAAAAAAGCAAAAATACTTGTCAGAGCATTTGCAGGCCTACTTCTGATGATTTCTCATCCCCTTCTGCCTCTCTCCTCCTCCCCACCCCAGTCTTTTTTCCAGTATGGGGATTGGACCCCAGGTCCTCACACACATGCTAGGCAAAACACTCTACTAGTGAGCTACATCCCCAGCCGTTTTTACTTTTTGTTTTGAGACAGGGTCTTGTCACTGTCCTCAAATTTGCAATCCACCTGTCCCACCTCCCAAATAGCTGAGATTACAGGTGTGTGTCATCATGCCCAGACTTATATAAATTTTTAGAAGTTAAAATAAGCTAGAAGCCACCAGAGAGATTGTGTATGTGGCATCACTACAGTATATTGTGATACATACATAAGTGCTTATGAAATTAACATATGGCTCCCTATGGGTGGGTCATGGGTTTTGAATGTAGCTCTTTTGAATATTTAAAAGTGAAATTTTTATTATAAAGATGACATATGCTTTTGGAGAGTGTAGAAATCATTAAAACAACTTTAAAGGAACATTCATCTCTAACCCTATGAATGAGAGAAAACGCTGTTTAACATTGGTGTGCTTCGCTTCCCGTGAGCATTTTTCCTTACCTGCTTTTATCTAGGTGGGCAGAGTTTTGTTTTTGTTTTTTGGTACTGGGGATCAAACTTGGGTCCTTGCACTTGCACAGTAGGCGGCAAAACCACTGAGCTAAATCCCCGGCCCTAGGTGGGCAGAATATGTACAGAGCACAGTAGGGCGAGGACTAAATTTACACTTGGGCTGTGAGGTTACGTGGCACTTCCTTCCGTGGCACCTCCTTCCGTGGCACAGGTGACCTGTCCCACAGATACCACCTTGGAAACCACATTTTCCTCCTTGCATTTTTTTTCTTTTTTGCAAAACACCAAATCTATATTTACATCCACATATGATAACATAACTTTAAGCTGAAATATATCATAAATAAAATAAGTAATGTCTACTGTTTTGACAAGTAACAAAATAAATCAAACTGGAATGAAATAAATACATAAACAAAAATTCAATGAATTGTACCTCTATTAAATGTACGGTTGTCTCAAAGAAAAAAAAGTACAAAAGCAGTAGTATTCCAATAGTTAATACTGATGGACACAAAACATATTTTGAACCTCCCTGGGTGTTTTGTTTTCCTTTGTCTCTTCAAATTTACTATCAGGAGACATAATCCCATGATTCCCGGCTCCTTATATGTGAATTTTCTCTCTTTCAAGTCTGTATCTCTTTCTCTATGTGTTCTTATATCGTTCCCAACTTCTTCCTCCTTTCTCCCAGTCCAACTTGAAAGCCTGGGCCTTCACAATTCCTCCCCTAGCCCATTGTGGAGAGTGGGTTTTTTTCACCTGGGTATAGTGGCACACGCCTGTAATCCCAGCACTCTGGGAGGCTGAGGCAGAAGAATCACAAGATCAAGCCTAGCCTGGACAACCTCGTGATTTAGTGAGGAGATATATATATATATATCTGAATAGTCAAGAAATTGGTTGTTCAGTGCACTACAATGATATAGTAGTTGTCAGAATTAGGGATTATCTAATATTTACCATCTTAATCTACTACCCTTAACTCTGTAGTTACTTGTTCTTCTATAGAGATTGCTACTTTCAGCATTAAATAAAGCGTCACCATAACAAGGTATTCGGGTGGAGAATTTAGCTCAGTGGTGCTGCACCTGCCTTGCAAGTGCAAGGTCCTGAGTTCGATCCCAGATACCAAAAATAAGGTACTCTTAACACAAACAGAGACCACCTACCATTGATTGTGTGCCTTAAGCAATTAGCTGTGATTATTATTTTTTATGTATACTGCCTCGTTCAATCCTCAAAACAACTGTAGTTAGGCAGAGAAAAGATCTGAATCAAGATTTGACCCCAGCAGTACCAAAATTTTATTTCAATCACACATAATTCTGGGGGTTCTTTTCTGTGGTTCTGGGGGTGGAAGCCAGGGCCTGGCCCATGCTAGGCAAGCGCTCACCACTAAGCTCCAGTCCATCCCCTAGCTCCGAAGTTCTGACACATTATTTCAAAATACTGCCACATAGTCTTTAAGTCACACTCAAATGTGACAGAGCTGAGGGAAAGGACATCAAAACGATCCATCTGGGAAGGCAGTCCTCTATGAGTGCAGTTTCTAGAGGAGAAACATCAAGTGGGAGAGGCAAAGAGAAGATATCTGTCACCCAGCCAAACTGGCGCAGTCAATCCAGGCAATAAGTCAGCCTGCACCAGCAGAGCCTCATAAAAAAAGGTGAAAATAAAACACTGGACAAAATCAAAGCCCTTGGAGAAGCTGCGAAATAGTCCAGTGCATCATCAAACACTTTTGCTCTTTGGTTGACAAAATTATATAGATTCTTATTAAATCTTTCTAAAGGAATCTGGGCATGATGGCACACACCTGTAATCCCAGCACTCGGGAGGCTGAAGTAGGAGGATCTCCTTCGAGGCCAACCCTATACTACATAGTAAGCTCAAGGCCAGCCTGAAGTACACAGTTCCATGCTAATCAGGTATCAGAACCATTACGATCTTGCCTCTGTTTACCTTTGGAGAAAAGCAAATTGTCATTTCTCCCAACTCGGGGGCTGTGGAAAGCAGGGAGACTTCCTACACACCGCGTCCACACCCCTAACGTGCTGGGCAATTTCTACCCGTACTAACTCTTTAGGCATCCGGGGAATACTGACGGCCGGCGCCACACTCAGAGCCGCGCAGAGGATAAGCTGGCGAGAGGCAGGCCAAGCCCCAAAGCGGTTCCGAGGTGGAGAGAAACGGGCTGGAACTCGGAACAAAGGGGGCTGCATAACAATGCACTGCGGGAGGGGAGCGAGAGCGGGCAACCCGGGCTCCTCCGAAGGGCCTGGCGGGGGGACACTCCCAGCTGCCCGGGCTCGGAGAGGCTGGTCTCCAAAACAGCAGGTGAGGTTGGGGATATCGGTTAATGCCGGGGGCGGGGGGGACACACACACACAGAGATGGAGAGAGGAAGAGGGAAGGGGAGAGAAAAGGAAAGAGAGGAGAAAGACAGAGAGAAGAAGAGATGGGAGGGCAGGGAGAGAGGAAAAGGAGAGACAGAGACAGAGCGCTCCTGCAGCTCAGTAAGATTCCGGCAGCCCAGGCTCCGGGGAGAGAGAACAGCTGGGCCCCGAAATCCAAAGAAGCGGAGTTCATGGATGCGCCTCCGTGACTCCCGCTCCATCTTTACTCCCGAACCGGCGCCGGCGCCCCGGGCTAAGTCACCCCCACCACCACCCACCCACCCACACCCACACATACACACGGCCGACGTCGGTCCGCCCTGCACGGTTCCCCACGTTTCTCAGCACCCACCATGCGGCGGGGACAGCTCCGGGCTCGAGGCCCCTCCACCTGCAGGCCCGACTGGCCCTCTGCCCTCCCCACCGCCCCACCCCGGCCGTTTGTGCCTTCAAGGCACCGACGTCACTATCCTAAACTGCTGATTACAGTAGGCAGTTTTAGACAGAGACGTCTTAACGCGTTCTTTTAAACTTTTCACGCGCGCCAGCTCTGCTGTCCAAACAGGCCGCAAACTCCCGGGCTCGAGCACACTGCCTGCCTCAGCCTCCCCAGTAACGGGGACTCCCCAGTAAGGGGCGCGCGCCCCCATTCCCGCGCTTATTTCGTGTTTCTCCACCCGCTGCCCACGCTGGCCCCTGGCCAGCCCTAGCCCTGCGGCGGAGCCCGATCGCTGCAGTCACGGCCACTGCCACCCACACCGGGCGCTCCTGGGAGGAAACCCTTCCCCGCAGGGTTTCTGGGCCAGTGGGTACGAGTAGATTTTGAAGGAAACTGAACGGGCGCGCGTCGCCGCAGAACCTCAGAAAACCTGAGAACTAGCGAGGCAACACCGAGCTGGGCAGACGCCTGGAACCCCAGCTCTCAGGAGGCTGAGGCAGGAGAATCGCTGCGAATTAGAGGCCTTCCTAGACTGTGTAGTTCAAGGCCAGCCTGGACTACATAGCTAGACCCTGCCTCTCAGGCCGACGGGTGCAGAAAGCTGAAGCCCGCCTGACAGGAAGTGTTCGCGGTCCACACTGAACTCGTGTCGCGCGGGGGCCGGCCCGGACCGGGGACGCGACACACGATCCTCTCAGCTCACCAGCAGCAGTCCCGCGAGGCGCCGAGGGCTCTCGGAGGGCGAGTGCGCAGGCGCGGGGCGCGCGAAGGGGCGGGGCCTGCAGAGCCGGCCCCCAGGATCCCTGAGGGGCGGGGCCGTGTGGAGGACCCTATTGTTGACGTCACCGTGACGTTGCCGCTCACCGGCCGCGGCGGCGGCGGTGGCGGCGGCGGCGGCGAACCGGGGAGCGGGCCCGCGGTTCGCGCTAAGATGGCCGCTCCGGCTCGGGCCGGTGAGTGCGTGAGGGGTGCGCGCGGCCGCGGATCGCCCCGCGAGGCTCCCGGCGGAAGCGGACGTCCGACAGAGCCCCGGTCGGGAGGCACCTGGCGGCGCTTTCCCGCCGTGCGAGGCGTCGGGGGTCCTGAGGGAGGCTAGGGGGCTCCGGGGGGACGGGCGCGGGGCGCGAGGCGCGGGCGCCGCGAGTGGAGAGCCGGCGCCCTGGGGAGCTCTGCGACGCTCGGCTGCGGGCGCCAGGGATGCTGTGGGTGCCGGCACTTGTTGCGCGGAGCGGCATCCCGGGGCCGCGCGAGGCTCTGAGCCCGGCGCCCGAGCGCTCCCGCCGACCGCGCTGCCCGCACCTGCCGCCGCTTAGGGACCTCGCGGGGCCGACGCCCTCCCGCCCCGCGGCCCAGGGCTGACGCCGATCGCTTTCAGGGGCCGGGCAGCGCGGAGGGAAAACACCGCTCGGGCTTCGGGGGAAGCTGGAGCCCCACCGCTGCCTCATAGAAAGAAAGAACGTGAAATGTAGTCATTGTTTCGACGGCGACTTTGAGGCTTACTGGTGACCGGGTCATTTCTTGCAGTGTAAATATTGGAAGTAAAGCAGTTTCGTAATTTAGGGTTTTCACTTTTCCTACCACCCCATCCCCCTTGAAAGCTGTGGCAAGGAATGGGGCAGTGGAATTAGCATGGAAATACGACCTCCTTCGGGCCCTGCACTTGAATTCCTTATTTTCTGTGAAGGAGCTGCCTGTGTGGGCCCGCGATTCCGTCTCGAGATGTCTTAGGACCAATGTTCTGTGTAAACGAGGAAAAGAAGTCGATTGTTTGAGTTTGAGCAGGTTAGGACCCAATGGGTAGTTAAGCACATGTTTGCAGAATATTTCATAATCCCACTGAGATTTGAGATTCGATATTCGTCCTAAAAGATAAAATTGTGTATTCTTGGAGAGCTGATCTTTTTATCCTCAGTTTAGCATCTGAGGGAATTTAAAAGAGAAGTTAAACATTGTGATACATTTAGGTTTTCTTCCGCCCGCTTGGTTTTCTGTGGCTTTTTGTGACTGCGGTGGAGGTCAGATTTTTCGGTTTAGTATGTTATTGGAGGCCATCCAAGTTGAAACTGAGACATTCTGATATTGAACAGATACTTCGATGTGTTACAGTTTACAAGTTGAAATGTTTTGGCTATTTTAATTTAGCAGCAGTCTTGATTTTTTTTTTTCTGAAATCCTGTTTGCATTTTTTAGCTCAAAAATTTTAAGAGATAAGTGAATTGGCATTTAGCATCGTATGCGGTGATAGACTTTGGAATGTTTAAAATGGAAATTGTTGAATATTTGGGTTAAATACCCAAAATGTTATTTACACCCACCCTCCCCCCAAAAACCTTTTCCTCTATACACTTGAATCTACTTGGGCATTATAGCATTTTGGTCATACTTAATTTTCTGCTGATTGGGGTGTTGGAGGACAGGGTCTGACTGTATTTTGTATTTTGTGTGTCCCTAGCACCAGACTGCTTAACATGGTGGGGGCCGGGGTAACGTGAAAGCTTTGTTAAATTTGGTTTTTGAATGATAGACGTGAAAAGCACCATTTTGACTGCTCCATAGCAGAAAAAAAGGTGGTGCTTTGAAGTTTTCTCCCATTTCCTGCGGGGTTAGGCAGAACAAATGAGGGCGCCAGATTCTGACTTGGTTGTCCTTGAGGGAGAGTGGAGGCTGGGCATAGGCCAAGAGTCCGATCTAGGTGGGAAATAAACTGTGAGCCCAAATCATTCATTGATTCAGTGAGGGACGCTTTTGCCATTGCACCTAGCCTGAATGGTGACAAGTAACGAAAATATAAGGAGGGTCTGTAAATACTGGCTTTCTAACAAAAAGATTGTTGTAAAAAGTACAACTACATTCACAGCACTTTCAGACACCATAAAAACTGAAGAATTCACTTTCAATGGAGGTTTTTACTGTCATAGAAAAGAGCTGACTTTTTAGTCTAAGATTGTGCTTCTTTCTTTGGCCAAATCACAGATGTCTAAGTCGGTTTAAGCCCTAGCACCACTTTAAAAAGGGGGTGGGTATTGGAATGACTGAAGCATCCAGGCATTTTATGCACAAAGTACAGTATTTGAATTCAAATTAGAGCCATAATAGAATGTTAAGTATTTTTAAATGTTACCCTTGTTGCTACAGAGTCAGTTGCAGTGATGTATAAATACATGGGTGTAATACTGATCCCATTGCTCATGGCTTCCCCCCTCTTAGGGATGAGAGTGAGGAATTCCCATAACCTGGAGGCATAAATTGCTCTCCTGGAGCTTTATTTTAAAACATCTTCAACTAGATTCACTCCCTGCTTCTGGAGAGCCCTGTTAGAGACATAAGGAAGGTCCAGGGGAAAGAGGACCCTTTATTGTTTAATGAGTTTGAAGCCAGATCAGGGTAATTACACATTCTACATCTCTAAAGGAAGAAAGAATAACCAGGGCCTTTCCAGGGATAAAGGAAAGGAAATGCGTCGTGACTGACATGGAGAGGTGCCAAAGCACAAAATAGGCATAATAGCATACCTAAGAGGGAGCAGCGAGAATTTGAGGGCCCATTGTGTTCATTTTGGTCAGTAATTTGTTCTTCAAAAATATTGAACCCTTTTTTGTGTACCAAGCACTGCGCTTGACCCTTGGCATTTTACAATCATCTCTGAAGAGGACAGGGTACTATGGTGTGGTTCCATGAGGTAAAAAAGAAAAACAGCTACTTCTAGGGACTAGGTTAGGTTTACAGTAATTACTGCAAACTATGGATAAAGCTATTTTCATTCTTACCCAAATACACGTAATGATTATGGTTTGTATTCCTAAAGCCTATCCCCTGCCATTTCCTCCTATATTTTATTATGCAAAATAGCACATTTACCTACTTTTACTAGCCTTTAGAGGATGTTTGTTACTGTTAAACCTGTCTTGTTACAAAAGATACGTTTATCAAAATAAGATTCAATATATGTCTGCTTCAATAAACAGACAGTCCTTGCTTGTTAATAGTATGTGCATTACAATATTCTGAACAAAGAAATGGTCAAAGGAACCAACTTGATGACTTCGCTTCTATTTGCATAACTCTTACTTGCAGGATTGTAATGTATAATAGCATAAAACCATAGTACTGTACTGTACAGTGCACTCAGCAAAAATTACAGTACTGTATAAACAGTGTGTTCTGTACAAAAAGACATTGAGGCTCTAGCAAAAGGATGTACAGACCTGTGCAAAAAAAAAAAAAAAAAAGATTGTAAGTCCTGGAGGTGGATCATAAGTCTGACCAGTTGTGAACAGGTATGTCATTAAATGAGGTGTATCTGTATTAGACATCGTATTATCAAAATAGTTCAATGAAAATGATTTCTTAACACATGCTGTCCAATAACTTTTTTTTTTTTTTTTTTTAGTACCGGAGATCGAATTCAGGTCCTTGCATTTGTGCATCAGGCAGTGAAACCACTGAGCTAAATCGCTGCCCCTGTTCAATAACTTTTAAAATAAAATACAGCAGGGCCAGGGATTTAGCTCAGTGGTTCCGCCGCCTGCCTCGAAAGCAGAAGGACCCAAGTTTGATCCCCAGTACCAAAAAAAAATAAAATAAAATACAGCAGCCACCAACAAATCATCACACCAGCTAAGTTTGGGCGGTGTTAATGCCTTACTTGTCAGAAAGGCTAGGAGGAAAGTGATTCAGAAAATCCAGGATATCATAGCAGTAATACAGAAAGTGCTCATCAGTACTCATGATTGCAAAACAGATGCAGTGTCGATGTGATGTTTAGCAAATCAATAAAACGTCTTGCTATATTTCCTCACGTGCCCTTGCCTAGCATTTTAGCAGCTTCCATGAATTCTTCAAGGTTACAGTGGTCACAGGGTTGATCCTTCATTCATGAATAGCTTCTGCAGGTCACTGCAAGGGACCAGTGACACTAAAATACTAATAAACTATCACAAAGCCAAGACTGCTTGACTGTGAAAATCACTGGAAATGCCAGATATCCTTGACAGTGAAACTGACTAATGGAGCCACTGTTCTGTCCGCCTCTGCAGTAGACATCTTGGAGGATAGAAAGGCAAGGAGCTGACTGGCCAGGAATGCAAGACAAAAATTAAACACACAGAACAATCACAGAGCCAAGAGTAACTAATAATTAATTGTTCAATTGTTTACCAAGGTTGGGAAGTGTATAGATAACCCTTGAGAAAATGCGAGCACCCATATGATAGGACACATCTCTACATATCAAGAAGTTTCAAGGGTAACATCACTTTTTTTTTTTTGGTACTGGGGATCGAACTCTGGTCCTTGCACTTGCGCAGCAGGCGGTGAAACCACTGAGCTAAATCCCCTGTCCCAAGGGTAGCATCACTTCTAAAGAGTGTGTTTCCATTGAGAATTTTACTCCAAATGAATCAATTTTATTGTCACCTGGTGAAGCAGTCCTTAGAAGGGAGCCCAGTAGAGAATGCACTGATAAGTTTTCCTGGGCCTGTGGCACAGCTGCTCTGCCTGTATCACAGTGACCAGCAGCTCTCATGAGACCATGCTCCACGTCACTCCTGTCTGCAGCAGAATGGGGAAACCTGGTATTTTTGGGTTATATCCAAAAATGTAGCTTATTTTTCCCCAGTGTCAGACAGTATAGTAATAATACATATTTTGAAGACATTTGTCTTCTCATGAATGCTGTGTTTATTTGCACTGCACGCTTAATGAATGTGCCTAAAAATACAGTAGGCTACAGGCACTCTTCAGTTAACCCCGGAGCTCCATTCCTGCTACTAGGTTGTTAAATGGTTGGTCCCTAAATGAGGGATTATGTATAGTGTGTACATTACAGTATTCAGAACAAAGAAATGGTCAAAGGAAACTCCAGCTTGAAGACTGCTTTTATTTGCCTAACTCTTAAGTGCAGTACTGTAATTCATAACGACATAAAACTGAAGCACTGTACTGTATGGTACAAACAAGGTGTACCCTACAAAAAACAACACTGAGGTTCTATCAGCAAGATGTACAGAACTGTCAAAAAAAAAAAAAAAAAAAGCGGGTCCTAAGTCCAAGCAGTGAGTCATAAATCCAAATAGTGCACCTTAGTCGTAACTCTGAACAGTCCTTAAACAGGTGGGTTGTTAAACGAGGAATATATATCTGTACATCCTTCTGGGAGGTCTCAGGATTTCCCTGAATGAGATAAAAATGATTACTGTGACATGATTTTACATTAAAGTGCTACTACTTTATATCCACTGGTAGTTTTTGGTACTGGGGATCAAACTTGGGTCCTTGTGATTGTGAGGCAGGCGGCAGAACCACTGAACTAAATCTTCAGCCCAATAAGCATTTTAAAAATGAACTAGAATATGAAACATCACTAGAATATTACTCTTATAAGGATTGTTTGTGAAAATTCTGTTCCAGAAGCAGAGACTGTGTGGGTGTGTTTCGTATATACCGT